AAGAAAACCGCTTTAAATATAAAGACACAAAGTAATTAATTATAAAAGACAAGAGAAGATATATTATGCTAACACTAATTAAAAGAAATCTGAAGTTTCTGTATTAATATCAAATTAGTTTTCAGGGAAAAAAAATTTGCTGGGGTAAAGACAGTCATTTCATAATGATATAGAGTCTAAATTAATCAAGGAAACATAACAACCTTAAGCGTTTAAACACTTAATAAACTTCTAAATATATGAGGTAAAAATTGACAGAAATTTAAAAAAGAAATAAACAAATCTATAATTATAACCAGAGATTTCAATTACTGTTGTTGTGGTTAAGTGCCATTGATTCAGCTCCAACTCACAGTGACCTTATGTATAACAGAATAAAAATTTGTGTAGTTCTGTACCATCTACACAATCATTTCTGTTTGAATCTATTGTTGCAGCTATTGTGTCTCAATCTATTTCATTTAGGGTCTCCCTCTTTTTTTTACTGACCCTCTAGTTTACCAAATATGATATCCTTGTCTAGTGATTGGTCTTCCTGATGACATGTCCAAAGTAAGCAACATGGGTTCTCACCATCCTTGCCTTTAAGGAGAATTCTGGCTGTGCTTCTTCCAAGACAGATTCGTTTGTTCTTCTGGTAGTCCATGGTATATTTAATATTCTTTGCCAATAACTGTCTCTAAACCTCTGATATCATGGCCCTTTAGACTGAAGTACTTCTTTAGCATTTTTTTTAGAGCAGTTCTCCTTGCAACAAATTCTAAGTTTTCTATATCTAAAAAGATCTGTATTTCTCCCTTATTCTTGATTTTTTTTTTTTTTTTTTTTTGCTGTATGTAGAAATATAGGATGAAAGTTCTTTTCACTCAACATATTAAACCGTTGTCGTGCTGTCTTCTAGCTTCCATGGTTTCAAGTGAGAGGTGAACGATATTATTCCCTTCAAGGGTGCATCTGCCTGTAGTCAAAGACGGTTGTCAGCAGTAGACATCATGGCTCTCACCACCTCCCCCTCCTTTCGCTCAAATACCTGGCTCCGTGCGCCATCTTTGCTTCTTCTCCAATGTATGTATAAATTTTTGTATGAGAGAATAACTTGAATTAAAAAAAAGCACAATGATTAAAAAAATGAAATGCTATATAGAAGAATTTCATAACTTAAGGGCTTGTATCTGTCTGTGTTCTCTCATTTTTTTCCTGCTCACTAGGATTTTATTCCAAACTGCAGGTGTTCTAAGCTTTTCCATTTCGTGGTGTACCCCTCTTTGGCAATGAACATTTCTTCTCTCTCTCAGAGAATCAGTTCTAACAAGAAAGAATTGTTCATCATTTCTAAAAAGAAGCTCATCTGGACCTGTATCCTGTAAACTTAATACCACTATATGTGCATTAAAGGTCAAGACAAATCATGTTTTTTTTAAAAAAAAAATCACCTTTTAGTCTCAACATTTATTTACAGGATAACTTTTTGGTTTTTCAAAAACAATGCTGTTTCACATTTTAATCAAGAGAAAACATCAGACAAATCCAAGAGGGACATTCAACAAAATAACTGACCAGGATTATTCAAAAGTCTCACGTTCCTGAAAGGTAAGGAAAAATGAGGAATTACCACAGCTGGGAAGAGACTAAGGAGACATGACAACTAAACGTAACGTGGGATCTTGGATTGGATCATGGAACAGGAAATGGACATTAGTAGGAAAACTGGTGAAATAAAAAGGTACCTTAGTTAAGCTCTCTGGGTGGCACAAGTGGTTTGCCATCTGCTACTAACCTAAAGGTTGGTGGTTCCAACCCACCCGGCAGCGCCATGAAAGAAAGACCTAGCGATCTGCTTCCACAAAGATTACAGCCATGAAAACCCTATGGAGTCAAGAAAACCCTGTGGAGCCCGGTCTACTCTGTAACACGTGAGGCCTCCATGAGTCCGATTTTAGCAACAGGTTTGTTTTTGTTTTTGGTAATTTAGTTAATGAACATGAATATTAATTTCCTAGTTAAAAAAATTAATTTTAATTTTTTTATTGTATTTTAGATGAAGGTTTACAGAACAAATAGTTTCTCATTAAACAGTACACATATTGTTTTATGACAATGGTTAACAACCCCAAGACATGTCAACACTGTCCCTTCTCTACCTTGTGTTCCCTATTATCAGCTTTCCTGTCCCCTCCTGCCTTCTAGTCCTTGTCCCTGGACTGTTGTGCCCCATTAGTCTCGTTTTGTTTTATGCAGCTGTCTAATCTTTGGCTGAAGGGTGAACCTCAGGAGTGACTTCATTACTGAACTAAAAGGGTGTTTGGGGGCCATACTCTCAGGGTTTCTCCAGTCTCTGTCAGGCCGGTAAGTCTGGTGTTTTTTGTGAGTTAGAATTTTGTTCTACATTTTTCTCCAGCTCTGTCCGGGACCCACTGTTATTATCCCTGTCAAAGCAGTCAGTAGTGGTAGCCAGGCACCATCTAGTTGTACCGGACTCAGTTTGGCGGAGGGCGTGGTAGTTGTGGTCCATTAGTCCTTTGGACAAATCTTTCCCTTGTATCTTGTTTTCTTCATTCTCCTTTGTTCCTGAAGGAGTGAGACCAGTGGAGCATCTTAGATGGCTGCTCACAGGCTTTTAAGACCCCATACACTACTCACCCAGGTAGAATGTAGAACATTTTCTTTATAAACTGTGTTATACCAATTGAGTTAGATGTTCCCCGAGACCAGGATCCCCACAGCCCTCCACCCAGCAATAAAATCCCTCGGGGAGTTTGGATGTATCTATGGAGCTTCCATGACCCTTCCTGTACAAGTTGTGCTGGCTTCCCCAGTACTGTGTACTGTCTTACCCTTCACCAAAGTTACCACTTATCTATTGTCTATTTAGTATTTCCCCTGCCCCCATTCCTCGTAACCAACAAACATTGTTTCTTTTAGTGTGTAAACCTTTTCATGAGTTTTTACAGTAGTGGTTTCATACAATATTTGTCCTTTTGTGATTGACTTATTTCACTCAGCATAATGTCCTCCAGTTTCATCCATGTTATGAGATGCTTCACAGATCCATCATTGATCTGTATCGTTGCATAATACTCCATTGTGTGTATGTACCATAGTTTGTTTACCCATTCATCTGTTGATGGGCATCTAGGTTGTTTCCATCTTTTTGCTATTGTGAACAATGCTCCCATGAGCATGGGTGTGCATATGTCTATTCGTGTGATGGCTCTTATTTCTCTAGGATATATTCCTAGGAGTGGGATTGCTGGATTGTACAGTATTTCTATTTCTAGCTTTCCAAGGAAGCGCCATATCATTTTCCAAAATGGTTGTATCGTTTTGCATTCCCACCAGCAGTGCTTAAGAGTTCCAATCTCCCTGCAGCCTCTCCAACATTTGTTATTTCCAGTTTTTTTGATTTGTGCCAGTAATGCTGGGGTGAGATGGTATCTCATTGTGCTTTTAATTTGCATTTCTCTAATGGCTAGTGATCGTGAGCATCTCCTCATGTGTCTGTTGGCCGCCTGAATGTCTTCTTTGATGAAGTGTCTGTTCATTTCCTTTGCCCATTTTCAAATTGGATTATTTGTCTTCTTGTTGTAGAGGTTGTCTTAGGCTGGGTTCTCTAGAGAAGCAAAACTAGTAAAGCATATATATATATAGAGAGAGAGATTTATATCAAGGAAACAGCTAACGTGACTGTAGAGGCGTTAGTCCCAAGTCCGTGGATCAGGGTAGAGGCCTCTCCCAATTCACCCAGCCGCAGAAGCTGGTGAGCCCAAGATTGGCAGGTTGGAGAGCAGGGCTCCTGCTCACAGGCTGTGAAGGTTGAGGAATTCCAAGATTGGCAGGTAAGACTGCAAGGTTTCCCCTGATTCATGTAGTTGCAGGGGCTGGCGAACCCAAGATTGGCAGGTCAAAGAGCAGGACTCCACTCACAGGCTGTGAAGATTGAGGAATCCCAAGTTCGGCAGATAACCTGACAGCTCAAGTCCCAAGAACCGGGTGTGAGACGACAGGAGGCAGCCCCAGGATCCTGAGAGAGCAAAAAGCCAGAATGTCTGCTTATATTCAGATGCAGGCATCACCCACAAGGAAACTCCCTTTCATCTGATTGGCTATTCACAGCATAATTCAATCATGGGAGTGATCACATATAAACACTGAGAATCATGGTCCAGCCAAGTTGACACACAATCTTACCCATCACAGACATGTTGGATTTTCTTATGGAGATTAGACCTTTGTCTGATTTATAATGTCCAATTTTTTTTCCCCAGTCTGTAGGTTCTCTTTTTACTCTTTTGGTGAAGTCTTCTGATGTGCATTAAGTGTTTAATCTTTAGAAGATCCCAGTTATCTAGCTTATCTTCTGGAGTTTGCGTGTTGTTGGTTATGGTTTGTATCCTGTCAATGCCATGTATTAGGGCCTCTAGCGTTGATCCTATTTTTTCTTCTATGAACTTTGTAGTTCTTGGCTTTATATTTAGGTCTTTGATACATTTTGAATTAGTTTTTGTTAATTTCCTAGTTCTGATAATTGTGCAATGGTTATGTAAAATGTTAACATTAGGGGAAGCTAGATAAAAGGTATAAGGGGAAGTCTAATATTTTTGGAACTTTTCTGCAAGTCAAATTAGTTCACAATATAAAGTTAAAATATAAAATTATTTTTAAAAGGAAAAGAACAACGCTGTTTTGTTCTAAAAGTTAATAGTTTAGCGGGAGAGACAAGGTCTGGTTAAGGTATGTGTGTGTGTGTGTGTGTGTGTGTGCGCGCGCGCGCGCGCGCGCGCGCGCTGGGGTCCATCTCGGCTCATTCAGGCACTGAATCCGGTGGCTCCCGGATCTACTGCGAAGGCACAGCCCTGGGTGCACTGGGTTGGGGGGAGGGTCGCTGCAAATGCTCCTCCCGCCTGAGTGCACTTGTCAGCGCAGACGCCTGGGTTTCCACCGAGCTCCAGCACGGGTGGCGCTGGGAAGGGGACACCTGTCTGACGGGGGCTCTGCTTCAGGAGGTCCCCAGCCGTCCAGCGAGGAGAGAGCGCAGGAGCGAGCCGTCGTCTCCGTTCGCCCTCGGCATGGCCCACTGCCTAGGACTCACGCTGCTGCTGCTGCTGTTGGGTGAGCGCCTGCCTCCTCCCCCGGGCCCTTCTATTCCAGCTTGCCCCTCGCGACCAGTTGGAGGGGCAAGAGGGCGATTCCGGGGGAAAAGCAGGAACGAAAGAAGAGGCGCTGGCAAGGACGGGTGTGTCTGCCGCCTGGGTGAGGAGTGCGGGGACGCCTGGCATTCCGCCCCCCACGCCCAGGGCTGCGCGACGCCGTACCGCCGCCTCCGCCTTCGTCCCCCATCCCAAGTCTGACATCTCTGCCCCAGGAACGTTCTTTTCCCTTTTGCCTCCATCTCCTTGTTCTCCTGCCTTTCTCATAGCCCCAGCCCTCCATGACTCCCTGCCCCGCACCTTCAGTGTCTCCCTGTCTCGCACCTGCCGTTCAACCTGCCAGATGCTCCTTCCCCACCTGGGGCATCGCCAAGGGAAGGGTCACTTTACGGGGTGTGGTGGATGGAATGGAATCTGGCAAGGTGTAAGGCAGAGTTGCTCTTCTGGCTGAGATGCGCTGTTTTGAGGGTGGACACCAGGTATGGGTGCTCCTGGTGGAGTGTGACAGGTAAACAAAGGTGCAGGGAGGAGAGAAGGGCTAAGTGTACCTGCTGCTCTGTGGCCCCAACAGGAGGGCCGCCCTCTCCCATCTACTCCCTCCACTTAGGTACCCTCTGCAAGATCTCAGCGTCTGCCTGTCATTCCGGTAGAGCTGACAGCGCTGAAGCTATGGCAAGAATTACCATGACCCTCACATCCCAATCCATGGCCCAGGCAAGACGAGGCCGGTGCCGGAGAGGGGCCCCACTCCCAGCCCTGCGGCAGGAGACACCCCCACCCCAATACACACTAGAATGGGTGCGAGGCCAGGCTAGGCACCTTCGCTCAGACTGGGGTGGCAAAAAGGGTTCTTGTCTGAGCAAGGTGCTCCTAGGGGTGAGGGCAGGGGGAGATGTGGGGGCGGGGGTCCTGGTTTTGGTGATCCAGGTCCTAGGGATGGACTGCCAAGTCCCGACCTCCCGTGACGCTCGCTTGGCTGGACTAAGCCCTGGTCATGACCCGTCTTGGCAGAGCTCACCCTTAGTCCCATCCGATATTTGGTGTGTGACTCGGCCATGCCAGGCGTCCTCTCTGCCCTCAGAGGAGTGCCACCTATCATGGGGCCCCCGTGCCTTCCCTGGAACCAGTGACGACTCCTGTAGCTCGGATCCTGTAGCTCCGGGCAGAGTCCTGTGGCCTGCCACCAGGGACTTCCTTCAGGCCTGAACTGGCCTTCAATGGCCAGAGCCCTAGCGGGGAACCTCTCTTTCGCCTTGGCCGCCAGAGGGTGGAGGCCAGGAGGAATCCGGCGTCCAGATGGGACGGGACAGGGTAGATAAGGGGTTAGGCTCGCGAGAAGGAGCATCAGCAGGGGCTGAGGAAGAGAGGCGCAGGGGTCAGGAGGAGGCCCACGAAAAGGCCAGGGAGGTAGGAGAACCAGCAATCTATAGACCCACCCAAAGGGCCTGTGCTGGGGAGAAAGAGGGTGGGTCAGGCATCCCAGAGCGTTACGAAGAGGAAGAGGACGAGGAGCGGCCACTGTCCTCGGAGCCACTTCTGATAAGTTTCCATTAGCCAGGTCCCCAGAATGCTCTGTTTCCCCGGTCAGGAAACGTCCAGGAGGGTGGGAGGATCCCAGAGGACCTTTCCTTGGATGAGTGTAGCAGTTCTGGGGGTGCTGCCTGGTGAGGATGGGGCCTCAGCTTCTGGGGGAGGCCAGGTCCAGCCTCGGCGCGCCCCATCCATCCTTGATATGTTGCGGGTACCCTCGAAGCACGCCGCCGTCCATCCCCGCGACGGAGGGCTGGTCGTGCCAGTCCGCCACGTCTTCGGGGCCCACCCTGCCCCCTCTCCTTGGGTTTGAGCAACACCCCTCCGCGGACCGCGTGGACGGGGGAGGGGGCGGTGAAGTGTACATGCAAGGCGCCCAGGGAACTGCAGCCTGCCCGCTTCTCTCCACCTCTTCCCCACAGGGTTCCCCAGCTCGGCCAGAGGGAACCGCTGCGTGGCCGCTGCCGAGGCGTGCACGGCGGATGCGCGGTGCCAGCAGCTGCGCACCGAGTACGTGGCGCAGTGCCTGGGCCGGGCTGCTCCTGGGGGTTGCCCTCGCGCCCGATGCCACCGAGCCCTGCGCCACTTCTTCGCCCGCGGGCCGCCCGCGCTCACCCTCGCGCTGCTTTTCTGCCCGTGCGCGAGCCCCGCATGCGCCGAGCGCCGCCGCCAGACCTTCGTGCCCGCCTGCGCCTTCTCGGGGCCAGGCCCGGCGCCACCCTCCTGCCTCGCGCCACTGGAGGCCTGCGAGCACAGCGGGGTCTGCAGGTGGGCCGGGAGTGGCGGGCAGTGGAGCCACGCCCGCGGGCCGCGGCCGCCACTCAGCTCACGGTCCCGCCCCACCCGTAGGCCCCGCCTCCGTGCCTTCCAGGCCTCGTGCGCCTCCTCCCCCGTCGTCCCCGATGGCTGCCCGCTGGAGCAGGCCCCCAGCTGCCGGCGCGCCTACGCTGGCCTTGTGGGTACGAAGGCGGGAGCCGGGCGTGGGTGGAACTCTCCAGGGGATGCCTCTGCCCGAGTGGGCCGATGACCCCGCCCTCGGGGTCCCTGCAGGAACCGCCGTTACCCCCAACTACGTGGACAACGCGAGCGCTCGTGTGGCACCTTGGTGCGACTGCGGAGCCAGCGGGAACCGGCGTGAAGAATGCGAAGCCTTCCGGGGGCTCTTTACGAGGAACCGCTGCTTGGGTGAGGGGGCCTGGGCGGGCGGCGCTGGAGTCGAGTTCGCGCTTACTGGCTGTTCCCACGTCGCCTGGCCCCGCGGGAGCCCATTTTAGATGTGAGGAAACTGAGGCTCTTTGTAGTAGAGACGGAGGCGCACCCCACCTTCCCCTCTCGCCCTGTCCCTCGGTTAGTGCGCGCTCAGCCGTCTCCAGAGACCAGGTCATAGACTCAAAGTAGAATCCTTGAGGTGTCAAGTCTGGTGCCCCTGCGGGCGGGGAGCGAGAAGGTTGGGGTGGCAGGAGCAATTAAAACATCTTTGAGGCCCTGGAATTGAACAGGGCGAGATCCCTGCTTAGGCCACTTCTGAGGTGGTGCCAGCCCCTGAAGGGCACCCTCGCCCCATGAGTCTGCCTTTAGGGGGTCTGGTTAGCTCAGTGGTTCTCTGCCGGGTCTGGGAGTTAGGAGGCCTGAGTTCAAGCAGCTGCTTTCTGGCTGAGAGTTAGCTAACTCCTCCAAGCCTTTTTGTGTCTGTCTGTAAAATGGGGAGGATGCTGACAGTCGCCCTCCCCTTTGAGGATGGAACTACCCAGCTTGTGAGGCACTCTAAGCGTGTCCTTCCTTCTTATTTTGTTATCATTCCTCACCCTGGCCTTCTGTCCCAGAGCCAGTCCTTGTAGATGTCCTTTCCTCCCATCTTTTGTACATGGTGGTCCAGTGGGGTGCCAGGGGTTTCTCAGTTTGTCCGTGAGGAGCTGGGTCCTTGTGCTAGAAGTGCCCAGTCAATCCCACCTGGACCCCTCCCTCTATAGACAGAGCTATACAGGCCTTCGAGAGCTGGTGGCCCCCAACCCTGCAGAACCCACACCAGGACCCTGAGCACAGCCTCCTGCAGGTAGGTGCTGGGCAGAGACTCAGAGCTGGCAGCTCCTGCAAGGCTGCCTTCCATACCCTTCCATACCAAATGTGGAGACATGACTGGCCTGGCTTGGTGGTGCAGCCTAGAGCAGAGCCAGGCTTCTCACCTGCAGCCCACAGCTCTGCTTCCCACCCCCAAGCTGTCCTCGGCAGACCAGCTTCTGGAGCGATGCTCCCTGCTCTTCATACTCCCAGCTCTGGCTCTCTGGCCCCTACTCTGACGAGGACTGCAGACAGCAGACAAGAGAGCAAACCGTCCCACCCTTTCCTGGGGTCTCAGGGCCATGTCTGTGGCCTATAGCCCCACTGAAAATGGGCTGACTTACATTCCATGCTGGCCCTGGTGCTTTAGCCTTGCTGCCCTTTGCAGGTGTGGACGCCGTGCCCCTGTCCCCGGGAGCTCGGGGCGCAGGCAGGGGGCCTGACTGCAAAGCCCTGGCTTCCCTTTCAGTAGGTTGCTTGGTGGTAGGTCCTTTTCTTCACCAACCTTGGGACAATTGGGGTCTTCCACAGGGTAGGGATGGAAGGGGTGCAGGGAGAGAGGGTCATTTTTGTATCTGAGACCTCAGTGGGGCCTCAGATCACCTAGAGATGGCCAGAGATCATTTAGGAAATTTTCTCCTGTCCATGAAATGCACCCACCCCCACCCCCAGCCTACACATTGTACTGCTGGCCACATGGCCATTTTCCCTATGGTTTAACCTAGCACCAGGAATGGCATACTCAGCTCAATAAATCCATGTGCACAGAAACTGACCTTGTTTTCATGTAGTCTGTGTCCTGGGAGCCTGGAGACTAGTCTGCCCCAGGTGTGTGACCTGAAATGGCCTCAGAACCTCTCTGGTCTCTAGCTTCTCACCTGCAGCTGAGGTTGCTGAACTGAAGCAACTCTGAGGTCCTGGTGGCAGGGCTTTTCATAACTTGTTGTTCATTGCCGTTGAGTTGATTCCGACTCACAGTGACCTGGTGACTCTATGTGTGTAGAGTAGAACTGCTCCATTGGGTTATCAAGGCTGTGACCTTTCGAAAGCAGATTGCCTAAGCAATGGCTTATTTTCTGAGGAGCGTCTGGATGGGTTCGAACTGCCAAGTTTTTGGCTAGTAGTCAAGTGCTTAACTGTCTGCCGTACCCAGGGACTCCTTTAGTTGCTTACCCAGTCTGTTCTTTCCTTCTCTGTTAGAGCTCAGATTAAAAAAAAAAAAAAATTCCAGCTTCCCTTGCAGCTAGGGGTGGCCATGTGGCACAAGCCTGGCCAATGAGTGAAGCCAAAGATGAGGCTTCCAGGAAAGCTCTTTAAATGGGAGCATTCTTGCCTGGAACCCTCCCACGTTCTTGCCTTCAGCATGGGCAGCGTTGAAAATGGAGCCACATGACATTGTGGTGCCACTGTGCCAGCCCAGGCCACCTCCCTCTGGGCCCTTCTTTACGTGAGAAAATTAATACCTCTAATTTATTTACACCAATTTCTTCCCAGGTTTCTGTTACTTGCAGCCAAACATAGGCTCTGATTGATACAATCCCACCCCTGGGATGGCCCTTTTAGCAATCTCAGCAAAGACACCTCTTTCTCCCATTGTTCATGGACTGATGCCAGGCAGGACCCTGATGAGCCCAGCGTGGGTTGTGTCTCTTCCTGTGGCCTGGGGAGTGACATCAGCCCATCAGCATGACATGGAATGGGGAGGGGCAGTTTTCCAGAGGAAGAAGGAGTGTTGGGCAGAGTCATAGTCTAACCCATTTCCACTGCACAGAGAAGAGGGAATGTTCCACTTACATGAACAGACAACCTGTAAGTGGGTTGGGAGCTGTGCGGGCAAGTGAAAGCCTCACTTTGCCCTGCTCACCATGATTGAATAGGTGGCCCAAATGCAGAATTAAATATCTGCTAAATCATTTACCTTTGTGAGAGAGTGTATTAAACTCTTCCACTCCATTTTTGGCTCAGATAATTAGAGTAAAATACAGGCATTTAAAAAAAATATAGTAATCTGGATTAGAAACAAATGTATATATAGGCATATATCTGCCAAAAGATCGGGAAGGTAAAAGTAAACAAAACTTCTTTGAAAACAGCAAAATTGTTTCATGGTGGCTCGTTGTCTTCCTTCAGCCTGTCTCACCAACTCACCCACCGAGTTTAACCAAATGGAGTCTCCTTTAACATCTGGCAATTTGCAAAGGAAAAGAGGCGTCCTTACTGGGTGCAGGTCCAAGTGGCCCTCATTGCCAGGCTCTCTGTTTTTCCCAGGGTGAACATCCCCAGCTGGTAGGCCTGAGGCTGTCAGGGGCACAGACCCAGCGAGCTCTGGAGGGAGAAGCCGAGGGAGAGAGAAGGGGCTGAGGGCTCCCACAGCCCGAGGTCTTGCTGCCCCCAGGGCCCGTCGACCTTCATATAGTTTTGTCAGCTAAGGTTGTTAGAGTTTGGTTTCTGTCACTTCAATCTAAAAAGGCCCTAGCTCATTTCCTGTTGCCATTGAGTCAGTTCCAACTCATGGTGACCCCATGTGTGTAACAGTAGAACTGTGCTATGTAGGGTTTTCAATGGCTTGATTTTTTTGGAAGTAGATCACCAGGACTTTTTTCTGAGGCCCCTCTGGGTAGACTCAAACCTCCAACCTTTCTGTTAGCAGCGAGCATGTTAACTGTTTGCACCATCCAGGGATGCTGACCTGGCTCATAACAGTGTTAAATCTGCCCAAACGCCTGGAGGCTGCATCCAGCTGTGGCCCCCACGACAAGGGACAGGTCCTGCCTTGCTCCTCTACATCTGGTCTCGACCTTCATGTCCCACCAGGTTCCCTGGGTGCTGTCACTCTCCTGTACATACTCTGGGAGACTGCAGTCCTGACCCTGGGTCACATCCCTGTGATGAGGTCTCTGCTGCCTGTTGCCAGCATTGAGCCCCCAGCAGGCAAGTGTCTGGGGTGGGGATGAGGCAGAAAGACAGATGCTGGAAGCATCTATGGATTTATTGGTGGAAACTTCATGGTTCATAAATGGCCACCCTGGCTTGCAGCCTAATGTCTTGGTGTAACGTTGATGTGGAAACTGGCTCACTGCCCACCCTTCCTCCCACCCTCCCGACGTGGGTCAAGCTGGGCCACAGTCAGAACCTGCTCGTTTTTACAGGAACTGACATTTCCTGCAGAAAGTGACAGGCTGGTGAAATTTCCAGTTAGGAGGACAGGGGCTGCACAAGGCTTTGGGAGAGGGTCCCCCAGCAGACAGCAGCTTGGTGGTGAGCCTGGCACACTTATGAAAGGAGACTGAGACACGGCCCTGCCTTGCTGGCTGCTGGTCCGTGAAGCCCTGGGCTGAAGGATGTCTTGGCATGTGGCTCTGCCAGGGAGACATCACCCCAAACCCAAAGGAACCTCCAGTCCAAGTCAGAAGATACAGAGAGAAAAATTAAGATGAGTACACACACACGAAAATAAAACCCACACTGAAATTCAGTAATTGAGTCTTCAAGGAACCTGAATCACGCAAATGAGGAGGCAAGTCCAAGAGGGAGTGCAGAGGGCCCCTGCAGCCAGGGCCTATCCCGGCCCTCCCTCTCTACCCTTCAAACATTCATCGCGGTCACCTAGTCTTACCTCCTTGGAGACACTGGATGGAAGGGAATTCTTTATTTTTATTATTATTATTTTTATTGTACTTCAGGTGAAGGTTTACAGAACAAATAGTTTCTCATGAAATAGTAGTACACATATTGTTTTATGACATTGGTTAACAACCCCATGACATGTCAACCCTTTCGCTTCTCGACCTTTTTTTTTTTGGTGAAAATATACACAGCCAAACATACACCATTTCAAAAATTTCTGCATGCACAGTTCAGTGATATCGACTATGCTCTTCCTGTTGTGCTGCTATTCTCACTTTAGATGAAGGTTTACAGAACAAAATAGTTTCTCATTAAACAGTTAGTACACATGTTGCCCTATGACAATGATTAACAACCCCACTACATGTCAACACTGTTCTTACTCAACCTTGGGTTTCCTATCACCAGCTTTCTTGTCCCCTTCTGCCTTCTAGTCCTTGTCCCTGGACTGCTGTGCCTCATTAGTCCCATTTTGTTTATGGAGCTGTCCAATCCCCAGCTGAACGGTGAACCTTGGAAGTGACTTCACCACTGAACTAAAAGGGTGTCTGGGGGCCATACTCTCAGGGTTTCTCCAGTCTCTTTCAGGCCAGTAAATCTGGTCTTTTTTTGTGTGTGTGTTAGAATTTTGTTCTACATCCTTCTCCATCTCTGTCCAGAACCCTCTGTTGTGATCCCGGTCAGAGCAGTCAGTGGTGGTACCCGGGCACCATCTAGCTGTACTGGACTCAGTATGGTGGAGGCCTTGGCAGCTGTGGTCCATTAGTCCTTTGGACTGATCTTTTCCTTATATCCTGTTCTCTTCATTCTCCCTTGCTCCCGAAGGGGTGAGACCAGTGGAGTATCTTAGATGGCCGCTCACAGGCTTTTAAGACCCCAGACGCTACTCACCAAGGTAGAATGTAGAACATTGTCTTTATAAACTGTGTTACGCCAATTGAGCTAGATGTTCCCTGAGACCATGGTCCCCACAGTCCTCCGCCCAGCAGTTCAGTCCCTCAGGGAGTTTGGATGTGTCTATGGAGCTTCCATGACCTTTCCTTGTACCAGTTGTGCTGGTTTCCCCAGTATTGTGCACTGTCTCACCCTGGAAGGGAATTCTTAACATGCATGTTATGTATCGCTAGTAATGCAGGGCTGTGGTGTTCAGATGCGTCTGTTTAGATGTGACCCGTACAGGTGTGTGGGGCTGAGGACTCAGGAGTGCCACTACCATTGATTGTCACCAATTTTCCAAAATGGTGACCAGCTCTTGGTAAAATTTTGGAAAAAAAAAAAAGTTCAGTTTCCCCTTGATTTGCACAGCAGTTGCATTTCTGAAAAACTCCCTGTATATTAAACTGGCTCTCAAAATACTTTGCGTTGATAAGCACAACAGAGTTAGGTTCTGGGCTAAAATAATTAGATTTTTCACCTACACAAACGTGCAGCAAGATGTCTGAAAACCATGTGGGACGCAGGTCAATTCCTTGTTGGGCAGGGCAGTCCTACATATCAGGGGATGTCTGCCTTCAGGCCCCACCCACTTAATCTCAGCAGCCCCTTCTTCATCATTAACCAGTTGCTGTAGAGTGGATTCCAACTCATGGCAACCCCATATGTGTCAGAGTAG